CAGAATCATCGCTTTGATCTGCCGGGACATCCGCTGCATAATTCACCACTCACACCTTAAAGCGACGAAAAATAACTTTCTCTCAAAACTGACCTACTTTTGGTTCCGGTGACAAGAATTGGCAGTTTATCGTTTGAAAACAACTGCAGTGTTTCGCGGTATTATGCTCAGCTAAAGTATCGTGCAGTTTAAGGGAACGATCTGGGAATAATTGTATTAAATACTGATGAGAAACAACACGCATGGGACGTAAAAGATTCCACGGTGTTTTTCATGATTTTTTTTTTTTGTTTCATGGGCTCCATGACTTTTCCGTTTAGCTAGTTTTTAATCAGTTAAGATATGCCACAATACCTCAAATAACCAATTTGAAGTCGTCAAATATGCCTCAGTGAAACCCTACGTATTTGTTTTATTCCATTTTGAAGAGTGCCCTTCTAGCTCTTAGATCAGATAGAATCATATAATTTTCCTTTTAAGAAATATAAAAACCAGTCGACCTGCCCAATGAATAATCGTCAGTTTATTTCAGCTTTGGCCGTGTATTACTAAAAAATTAAGATAACTGTAGTTCTAGCTGTTTATATTCGCTGTAGCTGCAAGCGAAAACTCAGTTAGGTAAAACAAATTCATTAAGATCTGTGATGGACAAGCTGGGATGCGATCGCAAACAAACTCAGTTCACCAACGCAAAGCGCTGCATGTTTCTCAAAACGTGATCCAAATATTTGTGCTCCCTTTTGTGCCTGGCTTGTAGTAAACTTCCAGAGCAGCTCTAGCTACGAGATCAAGCAGCTATAATTTTAACTCCGCTTCGGCACTGATTACACGCCAAGTTATCTCTTAGTTGCGTGGTTACGTACCGCCGAAAAACCAATTCACCAACAAAACTGAATTAACAAGCCTGTTGAAAATAATAAATTAAGCTGAAGAAAATGTTAAACGCTCGCTTATTAAACACGGTGGATTTCTAAAACTCTGTTGATGATGTCTTCTTACTCGTGGGAAATCCGTGATACAACACAGAGGTAGGGAGGCTTCTTTAACTTACAAAATTCATCATTTGGTGAATGAAAACGTTGTATCCGTGCCGGTGCTTCAGTTGGGAGCATGCGAACCTGTGAATTTATATAGGCGTGGCTCGTAATATTGTGCGATTCTTCTGAATTATGGTGCTTGAGTAAAATGTAAGCTGTCAACAGAAGCCTGTTTTTTTTTTGTCAGGAGAAGACACATCTAATGATTCCGTAGAGTGTTTACCCACGCGAACGTGCCGGACAAATGCTGTCGAGTCAGACAGCAGGAAGACCTCGCAGGTGTAACGATAAATGACGAGAGAGAAACGTAATTTTGTCAGGCGAAGCTTTCAAGTTTCAGCCAAATAACGGAAAATAAATTTAGCATTGCACAACGTACGTGCATTTCTGTGGATGGTGAAGTTGTTCGCATCACGTTTGGTTTATCACGTTTTCCGAAGCAAGAAAATGTTCGGCATAATATCAACGAACCCTTTACACATTGATCAGCTAATTTGAGAGCCAAACATCAGTGGAACTAACATTTCGTCTGAGTAAGTGAATCGCCATATTGTGAAATCCTCTGTCATAACTTCGACTTTAAAATGGCACTGAACCAAGGGCAGAATTTTCTGTCAGTGTAATAAGCTTCCGGTCAAATTAGCCGCTTCGTAGTAGGCAAAAAATTCAGTCCTAACCAGTCTTAAAATTCATTTTGTTGAAAGCCTCTTGTTTGGTTAGTTGGGAAATGATGTCTAGATTCTTAACTTTTCAGAGCACCGGTCGTTTAGACACTTTCAGAACTGTGAAATTTGTTAAAAAACAAATCCAGCGTCTTGTTCTGTGTGGAGTACAAATATTCCTACACACTAGAACGAAAAAGCACTTAACAAATTCCGTACTTTGTTGCAAGGTTTGTATATTAAATGTTGACATTTCGTTAAATATTGTTTTGCGAGAGAATTCAAAACAACAGTGGTGTGTTTCTTTTATAACTTGGCATTAAATTTCTAGCCAATTCCCAGACTCAATGCTTAAGTGCTAGTGTGAACACCATCTTTGTCTGTATTCATCGCAAATCAATTCAATTCGTCTTATTTTGACTTGTTTTCTCGTCTCAGTTTTTGAGGTACTATAGGGGTTTGCAAATTAAGATGAATACCTTTCGATTAGAGCCCGGTCTTGTTTATTTTATAACTTTGCAGCAGCTGGATTGAGAAAAAAAAAATGTCATAATAAAATGTATTCTTCTTTTCGAGAAAAAACAGTGTATGGTTATAAAATTGAGTAGCGAATCATTCGGACGCAGTTTATATTCCACAAAACTTTGTTTCGTTAAATCCCGGGTCAGGAACAGGACAGCTGTTCGTGGTTAGGTTGTCATGGATACTGCGTTGTGCAATGTTTTTTTTTTTCCTAAATTAATTTCATTCTGGTGTTTCATTTAATAATTTGTTGATTCTTTACAAAGAACTGTTTATGGGACTAACTCCTGTGGTATAATTACTTGAACAAAGGAACAGCGTCTGGTAAGCCTTGTTTGCTCTTTGTGTTTCTCAACCTGCTGAAACTGCCATAAATTAAATTTACGGAGACAGCACCTGCTGGTCATGCATTAATCTCACACGGCTTCGAAAAAAGCAACTTTATATCAGCGTATTTTTCTAATCACTCATAGTTGCTATGTCATCACTCAAGTAATGAGTGTTTTCAAGATGACTTCAGTCTTATGCATCTTCTCAGTTCTGTAACTATACCTGTTCTTGAATATTGTGCATGAAAAAACCAATATTTATGTTGTCCAGGGAGGTTATGTGGATCTCCATGGCAAAGGCATCATCATGCAGACGCTTATGACGTAATTCGGGTGACATCAGGAGGATACATTTAGCTGGAATACCCCATTGAAATGTCCAACGTGCGTAATCACCTTACCTGTTGGGGGTTAGCTGTTCATCAAAAATATTCTGGTTTGTTCTCAAGCTTAGATGGGTCACCAGGCCTGTGTTTAACACCGGTTTCCATTGCAATAAGCGTTGATCAATTGTTACTCCCCTGGGGGAATGCTTGTCTATCGCACTTACCACTCCCCCCTCCAGCATTTGCATCGGGGTTTATTAACAATTCGCTGTTAAGTATATTAACTTCTAGGTTGGGAGGGTTCTATCAGAGTGAAGTATCTTGCCAAAGAACACAACAAAAAAGACTTCCAGCGCACGAACGACAGATACCCCATCCAAAGACAGTTCCATTGTTAGCCAAAGTATTTGCGCTCTAGGTAAAGGAGCGTCTACAAAAGCAGCGTCACAACGTTATCGTGAATTACTAAACGGTATGGCAAAAATAACATTTACACCATATCCATCAAATTGTGTTGCAAACGAACGTGACGAAGTGACGGAGACAGCATGCAATATCCTTAATGGCGGCCACATGCTACGGTGAAGCTCTTGTAATGTGAGCCATTTGAACAATTATTACCTCTACCGGTATTCTTAACATTCGGATGAGACTGCTAAAGTAAAACAGAAAAGAAAATCGGATATTTTTCAAACAGCACACAACCCTTGAGCGACGTCAGAAAATAGTATCTAATTCTTGAATTTGATTCTGAGGTAAAGAGAGACATTTCAGCCGCGCTGGCTATTAATGCTTTGTGAAAATGGAATAGCTTTGTAATGAGAATAATTGTAATTTTCGGACGTTAAAATTTCAGATGTTTAATTTTCGGACACTTTTCATCTCATTTCGGACAAAAATTTCGGACACTGTGATGAAACACAGCTGAAGTACATTTACGCCTATAAAACACGAATTACACTGAAACAGCATATTCGAAAATGATAGTTTTACTGCGCCCTTACAGTTTTGAGATACACCGTGGACAAAATAGCACAAATTCTATCAAGCCGTTACGAATCTCAAGCAGTGTCTCAATTAGAGTTCGCCTCATAAAGGAAACTAAGAGCTTTGGAGCTACTTAACAATTTTATACTGTGCTCTAAATATTTCGGACGCTTAAAAATTTCGGACGGTTTTATTTTAGGACACTTTGTATGTATGAAATTAAAATCGTCCGAATTTTTTCCAAGTAATGTACGCTAAACTTATTCCGCGTAGAAGACTAGAAAAGATGCAGAACGCTTCTTACATTAAAAATAACATTTGTTTCCAACGTTACTTTCTTCACCTCTACGAATAAAAGCAAAAATGCAATAAAAAGAGAAGAAGTTTTATATTCACATTCATATGGTAACTGGGGTGTGTGATGCAGATAATGGTACGTGCTCAGCCTTAGGGTGATAATTCGATTTGACGCTTGGTAAAGGAGAGTGCATGTTGGAGACAAAGTGCTGGTTAGGGAAGGGCGCTTTTTTCTTTATTGTTATCACTGATGAATGTCTGTAGAAGACCGTTTTCGTAAGTCAGGAATGATTTTAGCAGCTCAGAGGGCTTACAGTGCTGTCATTGATATCATTGCCTGACAATAAAGATCATTGCCTCTTGTATTGGACAGTTAACATGGCCAATGACTAAAATCAACCATTGATAAATTGCGTTATTGCCGATCCAATAGAGCGGTTTTCATTTGAGTGTCGAACAGTTAACGATTGGGCTGAAAAACCCGCGGCTCTTACGCCTGGTCCTCATTTGAAGCGACGCAAACATAAGCATAAGCTAGGACGGTCGAACATAAGTATAAGCATAAGAATATCAAAACCTTGCGTCCTTCTTATGCTTGTGTTTATGTCGCTGTTGTGTCCAAAGGAGATATGTTGGCATAAGCTTAACATAAAGCATATTAACACATAAGCGAAAGACTTTCAGTCAATCAGCGAGCACTCTATGCTTAGGCCAACGTTTTCCTGAAGTGAAGTGAAAGACTTTATTTAATGAGGGTGACCCGTGACAGTAACTTAAGTTACTGATAAACTTGGGGCCCTCAGCTTAAAATAATTAGAATGCTAAAAYTATATTATTTACAATAAAATGCTAAAATACGATATTATTTACAATAAAATACTTAATTAAGTTACTATTAAAAATGGTTACAAATAATAAACTGGACTTACAATTTCAAACATACTACGAACATACTTCCTCTTTAAATATAAGCATAAGCATAAGTGTAAGAGGAGCCCTCATGCTAATGCTTATGCCACAGCCGTCCCCCGGCCACTAGCACATAAACTTCTTATGCTTATGCTTGCATCGCAAGTTAGGACGAGGGAGTACCGGGAGTTCGCCCACGCTTTCCCGCGCTTCGCGTCGCTAGATGTATGTACTTCGAGGTTTGATTGGTTCATTGGATTGTCTGTTTGCCTTGTGATTAGCTAGAGGGATTACTTTAGGTATTGGGCCTGATAATGTTTCCTCGGCACAATTGTGCAATAAATCTCTTATTATTTAAGCTGCTTAGGATCACCGGACGTTTCTTTACAGACCACACTTCGCTTGATCCGAATTGTCAAATTCATGGTTAATAGAAAATTATGTGTATACTTATTGGAATAGGAGCGCTTATCAGAATAGAGACACTTATTAACAAACGATACATTTCTTGGGCCGCTTTTTGGGTCAGGGTGCCAGATCGAATCTTACCGTAGCAGTTAAAAAACTTGAACCATTTCGATAGTTCGAAAGCAAACAACAAAATTTTGGGATCATAGCATTCGCATAGTAACAAGTGATTTTATTTTTTGATGCTTGCTTAATAACCTATATCATCACACTAATTAGCGTTTACATTATTGCCAGGAAAGCCTAGTGGATAAACTAGCAATGCTACACGATATGATACCGGCAAAAAAGAGCAGACGATTTCGCTCAGTGCGTAATTTTGTGATACCTGGCAATAATTTTCAGTTTTCTCAAAAACGATTTTGTCGGATTCTAATCACTTCTGTTCAAACATTCACTCTCAGTAACTGCACTACAAAGAAATAAGCACACCCAAGGGACAGCAGTAAAATGCCAGCCTTTTCTCAGCTATTAAGTTACAAGTAATTAGTGGAATAAGCCATATAATCACTGTTTATTTTATACATGTAGATCCAAAATAGAGGGTTTCAACAATAGCCCCCTACCGCGCTGCCTCTTGGGAGAAAGACACCGAGTTGCTAAGGTTGATAGCAACTTATATTTTTCCGGGTGAATCAGGAATGATAGACCGAAGCATGCCTCAGAAATAGCGACAAGCGAAAGTGTAACCGAGGTTAAACTTCCCCGGTGATTCATTCTTCGCTGCTCTGTATTTCCCTGCAGGTTTTTTTTGGTGGCAGAGGGAAGGATTCCTCAAAAGATCGACGAAATTTTCTACGTAAGCTCAAGCATATATTCTCTACGATTGCTCACCATGGACTCCTCGCTCAATGTACATCCTATTTGTGGATTTTGGGAGGGTGCTTTGGAAATTCACGTACCGAAATAATGCGTGTTCTTCCTTTACAGTTATACCGTCAACTAAAGACCATCTAGTGTTAAAAAACCACTGGTCGAAACGAACGAAGCATCAACTAACCGCAGTCTCGCTCGTTGTGGAACACTCGATCGGATCGAACGTTCTTGGCGAATTTGTTTCCGGTGTTTACCCCGTTATTCTACAAGACTGAGAATATGACAGTAAAGTTTCGACGATCCTTTATGTGGCAACGAATGCATCGGCCTCGAACAAAGTGCCCTCATGTTTTCTTAGTGACCTCTGTGTTTCTTTGCAGCACGGCTATTCACTTCCTTACCGTATTTAACAGTGACACATCAGTAGCTAACGGCGATAATACTGTTTACAGGCATCGATTTCTTCTCAGTGTCAATGAAAGCAAGAAGGGAAATTATCCCGATGATGTTTTCACGTTGGCGCAAAAGCGCAAAGGAGCTGTAATTTTGCATATTATTGGGATGTGTTATATGTTTTTGGCACTGTCCATCGCTTGTGATGAGTTCTTCATTCCCGCGTTGGCAATTATCACCGAAAAATTAAATATTTCAGAAGATGTGGCCGGAGCTACGTTCATGGCCGCTGGCGGTAGTATGCCAGAACTTTGTACCTCTTTTATTGGAGTTTTTGCGGACCCTGATTCGAATGTTGGCTTCGGAACCATTGTAGGTTCCGCTGTGTTCAATGTCTTGTTTGTTATTGGAATGTGCGCGGTGTTCTCGAAGGAAATCTTAAAACTGACATGGTGGCCCTTGTTTCGAGATTGTATGTTCTACAGCATAGCTCTGATCGTTTTAATCGTGTTCTTCACAGACGGAAAGATCGAGTGGTGGGAAGCGCTAATACTGATTATCACATACTTCTTGTATGTGACATTTATGAAATACAACCACAAAATTGAAAGATCGGTGAAAAGATTGCTTAAATCGAACAAAGTGAGCACTCTGGATTCGAAACAAGCCGAAGCAGCCAACATGCAAGATCCTTCTCTGGAGGTAGGTGAACACATTTTACTTTGGTGTTAAGGTGATAAGGGAAACGAAGGTTTTTTTTTGAAAATTTTAAATGCATGATAAGTGTCAACAGTGCTTTAATTGAACCGCTTTCATGCTAAATTCGCTTCAGGAAACGGCGGGGGATGCTGGCCGCTTCGAAGTAACATAAAACGCAGATTTTTAATCATTTAAAGAAACTTTTTCGTGACTTTGTCCGAAAAATCTTTCAATCGGTCAGTCGTGCATGACGGCAGATGCCAATTTAATGAAGAATCTTCGTCACCCCTGAATATAAATGTACAGAAGTTGACGAGTTAGGTACTAAATTACCAGCGTTTTACATTTGTAGGCGAGTAAAGGGGCATGTGTTTAGAATTTATGTTACGTTCAAGTGAGTAGTGTGAACTTTTATTTTTTGTTTAAGAATGCCGTGTTGCTATCCCGAGGCAGTTTCAGCTATATATTTTAATATTAAACAAGAAGCTGGTACAATGGCTCGTGTACAAATATATTCGTAGACACGTACATAATAAATTCGTGCAATTCGAATGAACGTTATGCATGAGAGCACAAAGCGTAAAATGGAATTGTATTTGGCAGGTGCTATGCGCCTAAATTTGCTACAATGTGAGTCTTCTTATGTAATCTCTGCACTTAAAAACAATTGGAAATTTCACGGGCAGGCTGTAGAGCTCCATCGCCGAAATGCTGTTAACTCGAGCATGTAAACAAGGATTTTCTAGTTATATCGTTAGGTGGGGTGTGCGTCAACAGTACGCAGGTCAGACGTGTTAATTAAGCTTGAAATGCAACAGGAGCTAATGATCAAACTCTATGTATAAAAGACACTTGAAATCAGTGATGAGAACAAGATCGAGTTGCACACACAAGCACAGCTGCAATCAACTCTTGGGTCTATCTGTTGAACTGATGACATGATACTGTCTGTAAAAGTGTTCTCTCTCGTGTTGACCTTCTTGTAATCCTCTTTGGATTAATCTGGCTAGAATTCTAAACAGGACAGCAAATAACGGGGAAAACTAATTAAACCTCCTTTTGCATGTAAAACTGCTTTTTCAGGATCTCATCAAGTTCTATTTTTGATCAGAATTGTACTGTACATAATTTGTTCAAAGATAAGTGATAAATATGTGTTAATATATTTGATGTTTCAAGCTTTTTATGATCATGAATGGATTTTAATTCACTTGACTCAAGGGTGGTACCCAAGCTCTTGATAATTTTTCTGTAATTATGTTTACTACCAGACAGCAAGTTTGAATGGTCTTCTCAACAACCAAGTGAATCTTAGCTTAAATAAGCAGTGCTAAAATGGTACACAGAATCTGGGATACTGTCAATGATAAATCTGTAACATAAAAGTAAAACTGAGTAGAGGTTAGCCTTTAATTTCCGCTGCACGTTGTTCTTTCATACAGCATGCAAGCCCTTGTACACTGTATTTACTTAAATGCTTGATTCTGTTTATTCAAGTTTTAATGAAATCTTTCTTTAATTAAATTCAGGAATCGAAAAGTGAGCCATTTTGGGCCAGTTATGAACTATCAAGTACTGATGTATACTTTTGTACTCCTTTTTTACAAACTGCACTGCCTTAGAAAGTTTGTACTACAATCCTTCAGGATTACTAAAACTACTCAATGAATATGTTTGATTAGTTACCAAGAAAATAGGCTTTTGGTCATTTTGAAAAGATCATACTGTGTGAAAAAGTTGAAATGACTGAAATCAAGAGAGCTTGTGTGCTTGTGGCCAAATTCTAACCAAGCATTACTAAATTATTATAAAATGCAGTTCAAATCCATATCCACCACATGGAAAGTCATTGAAAATTCTGATGTTGGCAGAGAGGATGGAGCTCAAAGCCTTATTTTTTTCACAAAATTATGAATGTCAGAGTTCAAATAAAACAACCCTTTCATGGGAAAGGAAGTATGGATATTTCCTGAAGTAACAGAATTTATTGCTTTTTGTAGGAAAGATTAAATTTGACCCAGCTGAGTGGGTTAATGAACAGAACTTCATTTTATACTAATACTCATATTTAATGACTCTTTGTCACTTGTATTGAACTGAATGAATATGATAATTTGGTTTCCACCTGGTGAAAAGTTTCATTTGTAAAGTCCTAGCCTTTCATTGTATGAATTACCACCAGAAATTACAGGAAATTAAAAGATGTGAATTTGTGTATTTAAGGATGGTGCCCACTAAATACAAAGGTTTTTGTGCCAGGTTAGGACTATGCGGAAAAAGTACATCTTGGCAAGGGCTATTAGAATCCAGAAAGAAAACTGGGCGTAGCCACGCATTTTTTCAAGATAATTAGCCTTGAATTTCAACAAAAATGCTGACATCAGCATTTTTCTGAGAAAAGAAGAAAAAGATATTTCTTCACAGATTTCCTTAGAATTCGCCTTTACATGCAGAAAAGCAAACATGTTTATAAAGATCTTAAAACTGCATGGTAAATGGCAACATAAAAACCATTTTTGATATATTTTTAATAACAAAATCGTTGCAACAGCGCCTTTAGCGTCTCTGACAGCCTTCCTCGGGTTCAGCTGAAATACAGGCTAAACACCTTTTGTTCACAACCACAAACTAATCACGTGTTGAATAGGCTTGCCACTTCCATTTCATAACATAAAATGTAGGGGTAGCCACGTGTTTTTTAAAGTTATTGATCTTTTTTGAAAACTTTTATGGTGCCCATTACATTTTTTCCTGTGACCTCCCCAGTAGGTAAAACAATTGCGTATCTCGCACTTGTTTTGCGCACGCACTACGCCATCTGCAGGTACATGTTTACAGTTGAATTTCAGGATAATTTTCAACAGATAACAGCTAGTTTTTCAGCTGGAAGACTTTATCAGTTAATGCATAGTGATATGCTACTATTCTGGAATTCCTGGTTCAACTACAAGTTCATTAAACTTGATTTGGTCACAGTACAAAAATTTTGCTTTCAATTTAGTCGTGTGCTAGGTAGCGTAGTTGATTGCGTCACTGTTCACCCTAGCACATGCGTGGCGCTTAAACCATGCCTTGCGTGATGTGCAGAACATGTGCGCACTAACAAAAGTAGGCACCGTCCTTAATACAGAGACCCAAACTAAAATTATGTTACGTCTAATCAGTGCATAAGATTAAATTAATATCTCTTAGATATTCATTAGCACATCATAATGTGAACTCCATGTTTGAAAACAAGTTTAGTAATTTCAGTTAACCGCACAAAGTATCTGTCAATAGTAACTTGTGAGGTATTACTAGATGTAATATTTTTAGTAAGGATTTTTCCTGAAATATTTAAATCAAACAGAAAGCAGTGGAAAACCTTTGTACATCATCCAAACAGAACAATGGTCTTCCTTGCTTCCGCCATGGAGCACTTCAACTTGTTATTCACACTATGGATCCTCTTGGAGAAGGTGAGTAAAGCGTTATCAACTTATTACATCTCTCTTAAATGTAAGTTTTTGAATATTCTTAGAACTTACATTAAAGTAAATTATATTCAGGGGTATCATTAAGGGCGAGTAGCCTACCAAAACAACTGGTTAATCAGCCATCTTTGGCCAGGTGCTGTCAACTCTTTTTACCATTACTACTGATGAAAAGTGTTATTGGTAGTAACATTCCATTGAAGACCCTTGTGAAGCATCCTTTTCCTAGTTTTGAAGCTGTAATTAATGCATATTTTTAATTAACAGATTTAGATGTGTGAATCGATTCAGCATCCATAGTTTACTTGATGTTTGTGCAAATATGTCATGGAATGCCAGGAACATTGTCATTGAATAGGTTCCAGTCTTATGTATGATCCACTGAAAAAAACTTGGCATCTGCACAGCTGTTGAGACTCTATGCCAAATTTATTATAAATCTCTATCTCAAGTACTTTCCTGGCAGCTGTGGTGGACAAAATATTTTTTCTTTATTCTGTCATTCTGTTCTGATTAACAGCTTCCATTGCAGTGAAAATAAACAAGTTAAAGAGACTCAGATGTCTTAAAGTCAAAGTTGGTATGGAAAGAGACCCTGGTCTTGTGCATGGGAATCAAGACGTTTATAAAAACATGGATGATGGCCACAGACAGTTTCATTTATCCGTTATAAACAATGATGAAAGGACAGATTCAACTTCAACGGCATCATTTCATAATTGCGTTAATGACTCCTCTCTTTCAGGGAACAACTTTACTTCTATCAATGACTCATATAATAAAGGAGTTGTGGACAACTCTTCTAGAAACTCTAGTTTGGTAAATGGAGGCACACTGTTTCCTCTTGTACAAATTGCCCCTCATGAGAATGGAGCTGTCCACGTACCTGGTGGAGTACCTGAAAATTGTGAGCGAAGTAATAATGCTTATAGAACTTCAACAGAGCCGCAAGGCTCTCAAACAACTATGCTACCACATTCTTCACATCAACAATTAGTAGACGTTGAAAGTGCCAAGGAAGCATGTGTAAGTATGAATAGTTTATCTGTTTCCTTGTCGAGGAGTATTAACTTTAATAGCAACATGCATCTGGTATAGTAGTGATGCTTTAGGAACGAGTCTCACTCCTGTGGTCAAAACATGTCAACTTCATGCATTCGCCCACTCATTCCCATAGATGTGGAGGCAGTGTGGCCAAGTGGTTATGGTACCAGACTTGAAATCCTGAGGTCACAGGTTCAAGTTCCGCTCTGATTTCTTAGCTGGAGTTGTTTCTCAGTAGACCTTAGTCCAACTCCTCGGTCATGCTTGTTAATAACCAACTGGTCTGCCTCCTGCCAGTTGGGATTTTAAGCCTATTATGTTTAGTTGATATCTTTGTTTCATTCAGTTTAAGTGACATGCCTGTGAACTGGCTAGGTGTAGCTAAGTGCATTGACCATTGTAAACAACAACATTTGAACATTTGACTAGTATCTCACACCTGGCTGATAAGTCTGGGTGATTACGACCTTAAATGACATTTTTCTGAAAAACATATAAATGCAAACCAGTACATTAACAGAAAAGTCCTACAGCTGTACAAGTAAATGACTGTATTCCCCCTAATACTGAAATTTTTAAGGGAAAGGTACTGGTGATTATGTACTGTGTGGGAAGATACATTATGATCATAACATCTTTGCAAATCTTTGGAATGTCCTTGGAAATTTTCTAGCATTTTCCGATTTGGTTGAGTTGTCTTTGAAAAACCTGATACTCCAAGGAGAAATATCTCATGTCTTAGACTTCTGTATCTTGGAGAATCACAGATAATCTTCTTGTAATATGGTTGGCAGGTAGGACCCAGGAGAATAATCCTCCCCCAATGAAAGAAACAATCGAACAAGAGAAGCAAGCTTTACTCAGGAAATTATTTGAAACCCCCTAGCAAGTTTGATGTTTACTCCAGAATTTTGATGTCTTCAAAAAACAGTGTCTTATCAAAGGGCACATGACCGTTTATTTCCTCCACTAAATGCTGTTGTTTCTGTTTGAAGCTTGAAGATGAAAGTGAACCTATAGACTTAAGTTGGCCATCAGGCTGGAAAGATCGACTGGTATACCTCATCAGAGCTCCTATTATGTATTGCATGTATTTTACAGCACTGGACATCAAGAGACCAGTAAGTCAATTTAAGTCTGCATTAGGCCAAGTGACCCATACTTTTGGAGCTTAGCCAGTTTCTTTACTATTAAGTGACTTAATACCCCTGGCCAATGTTGAAAACAAATTGTCTTGCCCAAGAACACATCACAGTGCCCAACCAGTCCAGGGCTCAATATTTATTGTTCAAGAAAGACTGGGTCCTATAATTGGTAAAAATCCCATTCAGGGAGTGGCATATGAATACTTTTTGTTGTTTTGTACGAGTTGGAAACCAGGAATAAGTATTGCTCTGATGGGCCACAAGGCTTCAATTCAAAGTTAACCTTATTACTTTAATATGACAAAGGTACATGTGAAGTCTGTTGGGCAGGGGGAGGGTTTGATGAGCGATGCAGAGGATTTGAACATCCTACTCTCTGTACTTTTGATTTATTGTCACCACTGGCACCACTGTGTTCTATTTCTATGGCAAAGTTATTTTACTCAATGCTGCAGATTTGTTTCACTTTTTTGCCCAGTTTCTCCAAAATTTGAATTCTGCTTCCAACCATTTAAATAAATAACATTGCTTAGAGAAAGAGCCACTTCAACCTTAGCTGGTTTTCAGGTGGGTACTCTATCCAGGTCGAACTGGAATTTGAAGATTTCAGTTTCTATGGAGGGAGGAAAGCCAGAGTACTGTACCTGGAGAAAAACCCTCAGAGCAAGGCGAGAACCAATAACAAACTCAACCCACATATGGCACCAGGCTGGAATCGAACCTGGGCCACATTGGTGGGAGGTGAGCACTCTCACCACCGCACCATCCCTGCTTCCCACCCCAGTCTTCTGGACTCCCCCTCCCCCCCACCCCCAACAGGTCTGTAGCAAAGTTGGGAAAGGTATTGATAAAATCATTTTCTTTCTTTTAGGAAAGAAGACACTTGTATCCTTGGACATTCATTTGGTCAATGTTATGGATTGTTTGCTTTTCTTACTTAATGGTTTGGTGGGCAACAGAAGTTGGTGACACCCTTGGTATTCCTACAGAGGTAGGCAAAACCTGAGCTTAATATATCTCTTTCAGTCCAAAACTCAATTAATGTAGTACAGTCAAACCTCTGGTTGTGACCACTTTGACCACCGAGCGCTTCTCCTCAGCGGCGAGTTTTCCAAAATACCAAAAGTCTTCAAGTCAAATGTGACAAATCACTATAACGGTTTTAAAATGATCTGTCTTTGTTTCTAGTTTTGATGTAATGTTTATTTGTTTCTTTACAGGTGATGGGCTTAACATTCTTAGCAGCTGGGACAAGTATTCCTGATCTTATTACCAGTGTTCTAGTAGCAAGGAAAGGCTTTGGTGACATGGCTGTGTCCAGTTCCATAGGGAGCAATTTGTTTGATGTCACAATAGGGTATGTGTGCAGTTTCCCTTGTACTTGTAAGAAGAATGGGAGGGGGTGTCCTGGGGGGTGTCCTGGGGGATGTCCCTAAAAGATACCATCACCAAGGACAATTGACTTAAGTTTATTATTTTGTCACTGAGTGTAGCATATTGTAGATTATTTTATTGATGAGTAATGGCCAGTCACATCCTTGACAAAAATAGTAATTACTTGGCCATTATTTCAGATCTACTTGTTTTTGGTTTACTTTGAAAATATAATCCAGCAAGACTACAATAATATGTGCCCACTCTTAAAGAGTTTGAAATACATGTAGAACACCCTAATTAAGGGGTAGAACACATTTGTGTGTATATTAAACAATGTAAAATGTATTGCATTTCTAGTTACAAATTGTAAATTTATATAATGTTGTAAGTTTATCATAAGAAGTGTACTGTTTGTGTTGTACTGTAAAGATATTTTGTATTTATTTATTTATTATTTTTTTAATGATAAGAAATTTTACAATACTCAACAGTACAACACAGTACAATACATTACTTACAGTATTTGCAATACTGGTTACTTACAAACATACAATATATGGTATGGTGAGAGGAGTATTGTGAATATGTTGTAAATGTGTTGTACTATAACAGTGTTAGAGTAGTAAAACGTGGAGTCCTCTGGGTCCAGTGGACTGAACATTAGTTATGTTGTGTTATTTTTCTTAAATTACAATCGAAAGTCATTATGTAAGAAAATATGTATAAAAGGGAATATCAGAGGCTATCCCTATTGAGGATGTTCCCTACTTAAGAATATTTAATATACAATCTAATTATGTATTGCATAGTGATAACATAAGATTAACATACTGGTCTTGTTTTTCTCTGTGTAGATTACCTGTTCCATGGATAATTTTCAGTGCAGTACATAGCGGTACTGCTATGGTAGTTAGTAGCTCGGGACTGTTCTGTTCGGTCTTGTTACTCTTCTTAATGCTGATAGCTGTAGTTGCAGCAATTGCTATCAGCAAATGGAAGATGTCCAAACTGCTTGGTGCCACCATGTTTGTGCTGTATGTCGTTTTTCTTGTCCTCTCGTTGCTGTTGCAGTACAATGAAATTAAGTGCCCATTTTAAAGGTGAGGTGTTGTTATTTACATAACTAATGACCTAGAAATCTTTTCATTCATTCATTCTGTTTATTTTGCCTTTTTACTTAATGTACAGTATTTATAAATATGTGAATGTGAGGCGATGTGACCTCTAGAAACCATCAGGCTTTTAGTTGAGGCCACCTCAGCTCGTATGTAACAATACGGTTACATAAATAGTGCAACAGTGTGCGGCTTTCTTCTAAACTTGCAGCCATCATGATCTACTTGAAAGGTCTAATCTTGATTTCAGGCCATGGTTCATGTTTCGTTTTTTGCCACAAAGTTCAGAGCTAGACTCTATTACTCTATTACTCTCTCTATTACTCCCTCAGAGAAGATTTTATTACTGATTCTTAATAACCAGGTTGAAACTCTAATATAGTATTTGTCTAGGTGATAGAAGACCAAGTGTAATCCTATAGCCATTATGCAGATTTTATCATGAGTTATAGGTAGCACACAATATGTCTATAAATTCTCTAATCTACATGTATTTGTTGTTCTGCTAAAATTAAGAAGTAAGGAATAGTTGTTTTTTAGTGGTTTGGCAGGTTGTAGAATTTAAGTATGGTGGTGGAAATTACATATAAATAGTGTGTGGCGTTCTCTGTGCATTTCTTAGCATTTAATTTTGAATTAATCTTTGTTTTTTTCCCTATGCAGATAGCATGTGTTAATGGAGTGGTTCTGCAGTATTTGTTACATCAAGCATTATAATGATGAAAATATATTTGACATGACACAACAGTATGTGCAGCAAGGACGTATTCTGAACTGCTTGTCCCATTAAAGGAGATCACCTAGCTCAGGGGAGGTGTACGTCTGTCCACCTTACTGCCCAGTGTTCATTACTACTAGAAGTTGAACTGTACAGAGAAGCTTACCAGTCATCATAACGAAGGGAGACAAAATAACAAATGACTTGTAATTCACCATACTAAGTTTTGTATCCATGCATGTACATGTATTTAAATTTCTGAGGATATATTTCTGGCAAAGACACTGCTGATACCTTTCTTGTACATATATATATATATATTTATTTTGTTCACCTTGCCCAGTGATATGTGTACTGAATGTGTTGTTCCAGAAATATCCATACCCCTCCCATGGAAGGTTTTTTAGCTTGAACCCCCCCCCCCCCCCCCCCCNCACCCCTCCGGAAATTCCATTTTAGTGTCATACTTTCCTTTAAAAAATTGGGCTTTTGAAACCCGCCTCCCCCTTGGAATTTCCATTAACCTTCCTTGGGGTGGGTATGGATATTTTCTGGACATGTACAATGTGGATGTACACATTCCTTATCCCTCTCAGACTCTGCATACCTTTTCCAGCTTTTATTTATTTCACAGCAGTTGCTAAGACTCAGTTACTTACTTACTTACTTAATCCTCTTCGTTCCTAAGTGGAACATAGGTCCTCAACTAGCGCGCGCCACCTAACCCTATTTTGTGCAGTGCCTTTTGCC